AAAGCACCCCTTTGATAGGGTATGTGACCTACTCCCCAATTTCTTGTCCTTCATTCTCCTCTCAGGATTTTGGACAGGCATTCATACATACCTGGTGTGTTTTTTCAGGCCACGTGTCCATGACTCAAACCACTCAGCCAGCCATGCGGCATCCAGCTGCCTTCATCCCCATGCCACCTTCTAGTCCTCTAATGTTTTAATCTTTTAATGAAATTTTTGGAAGGAAGCAGCAGCATTTCTTAACAGCCACTTCTTAGATCCCTGGTCCCTCTGAGGTAATCTAAAACAATTGAAGTAATCACAAAGTGGCAGTTTGTCTCATGACCAGTCCGAGAGACCCGAGTGGGTGTCTCATTTTGGAGGGTTGTACCTGGCTGTTCCACTGTCCCACTAGAACCATGTCTGGGTTGGTGCCACTGCATCTGACACTTCAAAGGCGTGTTGCAGTAGTGCTGGTTGGTGCGGAATGAAAGCATGCTCTCGGTTCTTGTGAACATTTTGTATTAGTAGGCATAGATCTTGTGCACACTTCGGCATTTTCACTCTAAATTTCTCTCTTTTACAACATTTTGCATTTTTCCCCCTAGATTTTTGCCATAGGGCAACACGTTCAGCAGAGAGTGACACAGAGATGGTGGGAAAGTGCGAAATCAGGGGCATCTGCAGTCCCTTCTCTCCTCCTTTCTCTTGGGACTTTGGACACACATATTTGACATGGTTTTCAGGCTGGGACTTGAACCACAGAATTGGCTATGTGGGGGTCCAGTGCTTTAAGCATTGTGCCACCTGCTGGCCGACACTATTTTGTACTTTCAAGCTTTAAACCTAATGGAAGCTTAATAGACGGATGGAATTCGTTTTGGATTATTTTGCCTTTTTGTATTTTAGGGTTGATCCTTCTTGCTTGTTCCTCAGACGTGCTGCTGCACTTGTCGCGCCGGCTCTCCCTCTGAGAAACCCCAGCTTTGAGTGAGGGTAGGGAGGCTGGATATACCCTGCCACTTCCAGATTGAAACTGCAGTTCGATCAAAAATGAATTCCTGGCACAGTTGATCTTGGTTCTGTGGGATATTTAAAGTTTTGTTCTTTCAGCCAGTATTTATTCCTGCTAACTGTTCACAGAAATTTAGAACAGCTACCAAATGGCATGAGACATGTTAGAACATTCTAAGTGACAAATAGGTATAGGTTTTACTGTTTTCCTAGATATTTGCCCAATTGGACAAAAACTTGCTTGTTTCCTGAAGTACTTTCTACTTCTTTTGTAAGACTTACCATACTGCATTCATTTGTATCTTACTTCCCTACTGTATTGAGAGTTTTATGTTCTTTGTTTTTGTGTCTACTGTGTAAAACTGAGTGGGAAACACAGTGGATGCTTAACTGTCAGGTTAAACTTTTTTTTTTTCCCCACCATAAGGTGAGTGTGCTCACCAGAGAAACAGACAGTGAGAAGGAAATTATCCCCCCGGGGAATGGCCACACCATAATCACTCCTCTTCAGACTGTGGACACACATGCACATTTGCCCAGCCTGTTTTCAAGCTTCTGTGTCCTGGGTTTGAAACCGCAGTCAGCCATGTGAGAATTCAGCAGCAGTCAGCCAACATGCTACCTGCTGGCCCCGTGTCTGGTTAAATTTTTATCTAATTTTTAAAAATTCAAGGTAGCTCTGAGTAGCCTTAATGCATAGGTAGAAAACCACAGAATGGTTAGAAGAGAATAATGGAGTGGAGGGATGAAGAGAGAAAGCTTAATAACAGTGCCTCTGACTTTTATCTTCAGCACTCCCCTTTAGAGGAAGTAAGTTTATAAATCCGTGGTCTTAGAAGAAGTTGAAGTCGTTTTTAACCAAGCTCTGCTTATCTACATTCTATCCTACTTCTTAAATGTGAAATCGACGAAACACAAAGAAGTCTAATGCTGCATGTTCTAACGCCTTGACCGCAAACCTGACCAATTGTCATTTGCATGCCTCCTACCCTGTCAGACATTGTGTGTGGTACCCTAGGAGAAAGGCGGGTCAGATTTGCTGCCCAGCCCTAAGGAGTATTCACAGTCTAATAGAGAAGACATAGGTTAGATATAAAATAGTGCCAATGTTATTGAGATTCAGGTGCACAGATGAGGGATCGATTATTCTTCCTAAAAGCCTGGAGAGATGTTTTGAGGTGTTAAGAAACTTGGGACCAGCAGTTGGCATAATGGCTATGTCGCTAGACTCCCATGTAGTCGACCGCAGTTCGAGTCCTGGACCCAGTGGCTTAAACTCACGCCAGGCATGTGTGCATGAGTGACCGAGATACCCAGAGGAGAAGGGATTGTGGTGTGGCCCGGGGGGTAATTTCTCACTTTCTGTCTCTCTGTCTCCCTCTGTCTGTCTGGCAAGTGCATGCGCCCTATAGCAAAAATCTTTCTTTAAAAAAAAGAAAGAAAGAAACTTCAACTCGCCTTAATGAAATAAGATAGAAACTGAATTAAGTTCTCCTTAGATCTGTTGCCCCATTTATTCTATTTCAAGACATTTTTCAAACATCTTAAAGTTACACAAATAAATAATAATTTTAAATATTGTCAATACCTAGCTTGATATTGTGGTTGAATTTGTACTTAAGGTCTCAATTTACTGGGATGTCAGAAAAGTCATGATGCATTTTTCATAAAAAACAAACAAACAAAAAATGTATCATGCCTCTTCTGAAAACCCGATACATTCTACCCCAAACATGTAGTGTAGACTGGACCATCAGGGTTAACTTTGTCCACATTATCAGTGATTGGTTAAAGGGTGAACTGATCCAGTTAGAACTAACGTGGCTGGTTTAGACCAGTAACACATAGAGGAAAGATTGGCTTGGGGTCTCTAGGAAAGTCAGTCTGACGTGAACAAGGAAGCATGCTTTTCCAGCTGCCACTCGGACTCTTCAGATAGTAGTGAGACAAGTGTTAGATCTTTAAAGATGAGACGAGAAAGGCAGAACAAAGCTATGGGAAACCTGGATCCCTCGTGATGTCGGGGCTTACAGAGTAGTTGATGCTGATAAAGGGTGCCTGGTTTCTACACTTCTGTTTTTCTTTTTTTTTTTTGTTTGGAGAGGTTTTTGCTATAGGGCGCGTGCGCTCACCAGACAGAGACAGACAGAGAGACAGAAAGCGAAAAATCACCCCCTAGGGGGATGGCCACGCCGCAATCCCTTCTCCTCCATTCTCCTCTCGGGATCTTGGGCACGCACGCACACGCGCCCAGCGTGCGTTTAAGCCACTGGGTCCGGGACACGAACCGCGGTTGACTACGTGGTAGTCCAGTGACATAGCCATTATGCTAGCTACTGGTCCCTACACTTCTTGTTAGGAGAAGTTCACTTATTTTTAAACCAGCTTGAATGCATTTCTAGACTTGGATTCAACAATACCCCAACTGGTGGAACTGTATTTGATACTGGAAAAAAAAGAGGTACTTGCCAGATAAGTTTTAAAATTTGGGGAAAGTGTGTAATTCAGGGGGAAAATGTGTAAGGGTCCCCACTGTTGCCAGTTGGGCAGCTGGAGATAATCTCTCCCTGGCGCACAAACTGTGTATTTTATGAGACTATATTTTGGGGGCAGATTGTAAAAAAAATTAAGGATTTTAGAGATTTCTTACTGAGAGCCAGGAAGGAACTTTTATTTTCATGATAACGTGAATGTATACGCAGGAGAGAGAAGTACCCCTCTCAGGGCTCGGTCACGCCATGATCCCCACCTCCAGCCCTCCACATGTGCTTGCACCTGGCATGCTTTCAGACCAACCAACAGGAGACTCTGCCACAGGACTGTCCCTGAGTGTGGCTGCCAGCTCATAGGCACAGCTGCGATCCTACAGCTGCTAGTAATTGAATTCTGCCAACAAGGAAAGGAACCTCCCTAGACCCTGTAAGAAACACAGTCCAGAGGACACCTGGGTCTCAGCCCCTTTGCGGTCCTTTCTTACAGTACTGATAGAAAACTAGCAGCTGCCTTGTCTGGGGCTGTGAGCTGGAGACGAGCTCCTGCTTAGCCTTGGTGGGATCCCAACTCCTCTTCACTCTTGCCTTTGTTTCATTACACGTATGTAAGGACCAGCTGAATTTCCTACTAGTGATCAGGTGGACTGTTAAGATCCCCTTCTACCTTATTTCCTTTATTTTTAAAAACCATTCACACTGAAATAATTACTTTGATTCTATCTCTTAGGTACCTCCAGATGTCAGTACTTCATGCCTTACTTTCCTTTCCAGTTGAACTTACAGAGGAGATACGATGTTTCATTTACTCAACCAAAAAAATAAAAATAAAAAAACACTGAGTATCTACTTATTTCAGGTCATGAACCAGTTCCACTGATGTAATTAGCGTGACACAGGGTTCCTCTGCTGCGCCTGCCCTTACTGTGGCGTGGGTCTCAGTAGGGATGCAGCATGGCAGCGCAGTGCTCACTGCACGCTCAGAGCTCCTCTGAAAGATGTCAGGACTCCAGTTCTGTTGCTAGCACTCATGAGTCGTGCTGTGCCCGCTTCTATAACTTTTTCTATCAATATGAGTTTCCTTTCTCTCTCTCTCTTTCTCTCTTTTTTTTTAAGAGATTTTTGCAGTAGAGCACATATACTTGGACTCAAACTGCAGTCGTCGTGGGAGTCCAGCGACATAGCCATTGCTCCATCTGCTGCTCCTCAATATGAGTTTTCTCATCTAAGTGTTTTATATTTATTTACTTAATAAATTACTAACTAAAAAATGATTAGAATAATATATCCTGAAAGAAAGATGTATAGCTACAGATGTTAACAGGTGAGTGGCAGATTCATTTTGAGCTTTCCACTCCAGAGCTTAAAGTTACATACAAGGTTCAGGGTGTCACAATTTTTTTTAACTATTTAATTTTATTTATTATTTTTTAATTTGATCGGAGAGAGAGAGGAAGCGGGAAATCAAGGCACAGGAGACAGCAGTTGGCATAAAGGCTATGTTGCTGGACTCTCATGAAGTCAACTGGTTCAAGTCTCGGACCTGGTGACTTAAACTCACACCGTGCGTGCATGCCCAAGATCCCGAGAAGAGAATGGAGGAGAAGAGATTGCAGTGTGGCCATCCCCTCAGGGAGGGGGGGTGATTTCTCGCTTTCTGTCTCTCTGTCTCCCTCTGTATTTCCGGCCAGTGCACGTGCCCTATAACAAACCTCTCCCGCCCCCCCCAAAAAAAAAAAAAAACAAGGCACAGGTCCAGGACTTGAACTGTGGTCGACCATCATGTGGGAGTCCAGCTCTTTAAACATCATGCCACCTACCTGCCGGCCCCAAGGCTGTAACAAATTTTGACACCTATTCCTCATTAGTATTACTGCATAAAAACATGAAAAACATTTCTGGAAATTTTTTATTTTAAAGACGTTTTTGCACTTGCATAGTGTAGTTCATATAAATTTTGTGAGTCATGTTCCAGGAGAAAATTTTAGAAACCTGCAGTTTCCAAGCACAGATTTCCCCTCATGTATACACATTCCTTACAGGTTCTCTGTTGCACATCATCATTTGGAGTCATTTCTGTTCTAGTGTCTTAACTTCTCTCTCGAACCACCTGCTGTGGCTGTTGCTGCTGCTTCTACTTCTGAACAGGCCGTATGGAGTACCCTGTCTAATCTGCGGATTTGGGGGACAGAGATGTATGTTATATTTTCAAGTGGGCCCTTGTTATGAAAGGGGTAGACTTTTCTTACAGCCAGGGGCCAGACTGTGGCACAATGGTAAGATACAGCAATCTGTAAGACGGCCTGGCCTCCTGCAGGATGGGTTCCAGCTTTGTGTCCAGAGACCCCATTTGAGTGTACTGAGTGTGCCCATGACCCAGGACTGACAGGAGCTGGGAGTAGTCACAGCATCAAGACCCTGTGAAGATTACCGTCTCTCTCTCTCTCTCTTCCTCCCTCCCTTTCCCTCTCCCTCTCTCCCTCCATCCGTCCTCCTCCCTCCTTCCTTCCCTCCCTCCCTCTCTCCCTCTTTCTCTCTCTCTCCCTCTCTTCTCTCCTGGAAGAAGACAATCTTAAAAAAAGAAAAAGAGTCTGTAATCGATATTAGCTTCCTTCCTCCAGCTGTTACCTAGACCCCAGAAGGGTGGAGAATGTCTCAGAATCGACCCCGCGTGTGTGCTGTGTGTGCCCTCGAGATAGTCGAGTTTTTTCGTTAGGATTTGGAAAGGTACATCGTTCCCTTCATAACACGTTAGAACTGGAATTCTGGAATCTCTTGGAGTTGGATACTACAATTCTAACCCCCCATCACTTTGCTTTTTTGGCAGTTTTAATCTTTAAACTTCATTTTCCTTTTAAGATGTGTGTAACAACAAAAGTATTAATAGCGATAACTTTTGGGGGGTTGAAGCAAAATGCATGTGAAGCTTGTAGCTGTAAAGCTTGAGACTTTGTACTGGATGTCTTAGCAGCACTCAGGAAATGCTCGCTTCCACAGGAGATGGTGTGTAAATCCTGGGCAGGTGACCTGGGTCCATTTCCTAGGCTACCTTCCGCCCACTTCGCATTGCAAAGTAGTGACCCCTCTGCTATTACTGTGCTTCTCTTGCTTTCTCGCTATGGTAAACTGACACAGTTTCCCTGTCTTGGAAATCCTGCTGATAGCTTTATTTAGCTCTATGCATTATTTATTTTGCTTTAGGTCAGAGATGCGAGAGAGCGGAAGACATGGCAGAGAACTCGAAGAACAGTTCTGCTTTCTAGCCCTTCCTCAGAGTGACGTGGTGGGGATATATCAGCATGGAATGAGTACCGGAGCCTCTGCATTGAAGACACTGGGAGACCCTCTCCTCGGAGTGTATCTGTTCAGACATGTCGATGTTGCCTTGAATTATGCTCATAGTAGAAATGTCACTGTAGAAAGTATTGTAATTTTTAAGGTAGGTATATTAAAAAATAGTAAATATATGACTATTTAAATTGGCCTGAGTATAAATTATTAGCATTTTAAAATAATATATGATGAAAAATAATTATTTTTTTTTACTGTTTTTGTCATAATCACTCAAAACTGTCACAGTCTTTTTTTTTTTTTTTTTTTGGAGTGGTTTTGCTATAGGGAGTATGCACTTGCCAGAAAGACAGAGAGAGACAGAGACACAAAGTGAGAAATCACCCCCCAGGGGGATGACCACACCGCAATTTGTTCTCCTTCATTCTCTGAGGATCTTGAACACGCACGTACACTCGCCTGGCATGAGTTTAAGCCACTGGGTCTGGGATTCGAACCACGGTCAACTACATGGGAGTCCAGCTACATAGCCATTATGCCAACTGCTGGTCCCAAAACTGTCACAGTCTTAGCCTCTTTACCTGGGTGTGCAACCAGACTTGGGCCTTTGTCTTCAGTGTGCATCTGCTCTCTGTCCTAGTTGACCTTCCTGATTTCTTCCCTTTGGTTCATATTGTAGTTAATGCCAGAACCACGTAACTGGCCACGTGGGATCCAGCACCTTAGCCACCACACCATGACCTGCTCATCCAACGCACTGGCTTAGTCCAAAGTTCCTGAACTCTTACGGTTTGGGTAACAGTGCTGTGCCCGTATTGACGTCTTAATTTTGGTGATCGGTGCCATCTCATGTAAGCTGTTAACTTGGAGAGAGTGGGTGTGCACATGTAGCTCTGCCACACTGCTCTTGGCGTGTGTTTGAGAGGAAAGTGGCCACGCGTAAATGTCCCACAGTCAGGCAGCACACAGTCGTCACATGTCCTCCCCCTGGAGTGTTGCCACCTTTGCCATCGGTTTAGTTTTTGTTTTGGTTTGTTAAGGTTTTGCCACAGCGCACGTCCACTCACTGGAGAGACAGACAGGAAAAGGGAGCGGCCGTCCCCTGGGGGCATGGCTGTGTCACAGTCCCTCTTCTGTTTTCCTCTTAGGATTCTGGGCACACACTCAAACATGTCTGGCATGATTTTCAAGCTGCTGGGTCTGGGACTCGAACTGTGGTTGAGCATGTGGGAGTCCAGCACCTTAAACACCACGCTATCTGGTGGCCCCAGTTTACAGGAGTTTTTAAAAAGTGGGAAAATGTTGGGACCAGCAGATGGCATAATGGTTATGTTGCTGGACTCCCACATAGTTGACCACGGTTTGAGTCCTGGACCAGGTGGCTTAAAACTCAAGTCAGGTGTGTGCTTGCATGTCCAAAATCCCAAAAGGATAATGGAAGAGAAGGGATTGTAGTGTGGCTGTCCCCCATGGGGAGTGATTTCTTTCTCTCTATCCAGCAAGCACATGTGCCCTATAGCAAAAATCTGTCTTAAAAAACAGGTAAATGCTTATGCAATCATACTAAATTTTTATGAGACATTAAGATTAAAAATATTATAGGGGGGACTAGCCCATGGCCTGATTATTAGGGCAGCTGGGTCCCACATGGCCTACTGTACAGTTCAAGTTGGAGACCCAGTAGCTTGAGAAAGCACAACAGGTACACGAGCGTGCATACTCAGAATCCCGGAGAGGGAGATACAGAAGGGGAAGGGGCTGAGCAGTGGCTGTGATCCGTGAGGGGTGCTTTCTCGCGTCCCTCTCTGTCTGTCTCTGTCATGTGCTCTGTAGCAAAGTGAAAATACAGAACATATATACGTATAAAGATAGGCCATGATATGTATATGTAGAATACACGTAATATAGGATATCACCAAATGATATAAAATGCCCAGATTAAGATCAGAAAGAAAACCGTTCAGTTATCAATAATCCTTGGATTATGACAATATATGGGGTTTTTTTCTTTCTAGTTTTCCAAATCAGATTTTTCCACATATTCTGTAATTGTACGTTTCTTTCTCTTAGTTGTTTGGGGGGACATGCACTCCCGAGAGAGAGACAAAGGGAAAGTGAGAAATCTGCCCTCAGGATGGCTGTGCTGCAGTCCCTTCCCCTCCATTCCCCTCTTGGGTTTGGAGCATGCATGCGCATGTGCTCGGCATTTTTCTCAAGTTGCTGGGATTTGGAACTCAAAGTGTGAGGTTGGGATCCAGCTGCTTTAACCAGCATGCCATCAGCTGACCCCAGTTTCCAATTTCTTATTGCAATAAAAATGCATAAGATTTACTATCTTACCCATTTTTCAGTGAACAGTTCAGTGGTTCACAGTACATTCATACTGTTCATAGTCGTCATCATCATTATCTTTCTTTAAAACTCTCCGTTGGGGACAAGCAGTTAGTATAATGGCTATGTCACTGGACTCCCATGTAGTTGACCGTGGTTCCGAGTCCCGGACCCAGTGGCTTAAACTCACACCGGGCGTGTGTGCATGTGTGCCCAAGATCCCGAGAAGAGAATGGAGGAGAAGGGATTGAAGCATGGCTATACCCCCCCCGGGGGGTGATTTCTTGCTTTCTGTCTCTCTGTCTCTCTATGTCTTTCTGGTGAGCACAAGCGCTGTATAGCAAAAAAACTCTCAAAAAAAACCTCTCCATCGTACAGACCAAAACTGTACATGACTTGAGTCTCAGACCCAAAGACTTGAAACTCACAGCAGGCGTGCGTGCATGTGGGTACAAAATCCCAGAAGGGTAGAGAAGAAGGGATTGTGTGGCATGGCTGTCCCCGCCATGATGGGTGATCTCTCACTTTCCCTATCTCTCCGGGGAGTGCAAATACTCTATGGGAAAAACCTTCAAAACAAAAGAAAAACAAAAATTGTATACATTTAACTCTCAGTATAGTAGCTCCACCGTCCCCACTCCAGCTCCTAGCAGTCTCCATTCTACTTCCTCTCTCTCTGATGATGACTCTACCCTAAGTATTTCATGTAAGTGGAACCCTGTAGTACTCTTTTTGTAACTGGCTTATTTCACTTAGCACAATGTCCTCAGTGTTTAGCACAGGTCAGTATTTCCTCCTGAAGACTGAATAACCCAGAGCATGCATGCCCTGTAGCAAAAAAAAAAAAAAAAAGAAAAAAAAAAGATAAATAAATAATTACTAAAATTGGTCTTATAACCTTTTTTGATTGAAGATCTATTTTGTCTGATACTATTCATTGGCAAAGTCATGACATATTTTTTCTATATTATGCAAACGGTGTCATGACTTTCTCGACAACACATAGCATAACCACCCCTGCTCTCTCTCGGTTACTGTCTGAATGGACTGTACTTTTCATCTTTTCATACTTCAGCCTATTTATGTCTGGTTCTAAAGCAAGCCTCTGGGCAGCATATAGCTGTGAATCATATGTATATGTGATTTTTTAGGTTTTTGCTGGAGGGTGCATGCATTCACAGAAAAGAGGGAGAGGGAAAGTGAGGGTGGCCACACCACAGTCCCTTCTCTTCTGTCTTCTCTTGGGACTTAGGGCATGAACACATGCACACCTGGCATGATTTTCTAGGAGCCGGGTCTGGGACTCGGACTGCTGAGTTGGCCATGTGAGATCCAGCCCCAAAACCACCTTGCCACCGGCTGGCGCATCCCTCAGTGTGAACATTGGTACAACCGTGGCACATCTGCCACAACCGAGACGCTAATCGCAATGAGACACTATTAAACTACAGACTTCACTTGGCTTTTGCCAGATTTTTAATTCATGATTCTCTCTCCCAGGTGCAGTCCACACGTGGTTTTTCAGTAACTATATTAAACTACTAAAAATAGCAAGAATAGAATTTCTGGATTTTTACAACTCGTGTACCTTTTGTAACACTCACTGCAGTTTCTTCCAGGTCTTCTGTCACTCAATTATGGTCATAGTTTTTTATGCATTTATTTCTGATGTACAGAAGTTTGACCATTTTATATACTGAAGCCTATATATTTTTGGTACACGGGTTTTGGTTTTTTTTTTTTTTTTTGGGGGGTTGCTATAGGACACGCATGCTCGCCAGAGTGACAGAGAGAGACAGAGAAAGTGAGAAATCACCCCCCCGGGGGGATGGCCACACCATACTCTCTTCTCCTCCATTCTCTTCGCGGGATCTTGGGCACGCATGCACATGCGCCTGGCGTACGTTTAAGCCACCGGGTCCGGGACTCGAACCGTGGTCGGCTACATGGGAGTCCAGTGACATAGCCATTACCCAACTGCTGATCCCGGTACACAGTTTCTTGGCATATGTTCTTCAAAAAGACTTCTCACTTTGTGTTTAGATAAACATTGGCTTATCTTTTTTGCTACAATATTTTCAATTTTTGTTTGTTTTTTAGTTTTTTTTGCCATAGGGTGCATGTGCTTGCTGAAGACAGAGACAAAAAGAGGAAAATGGAAGTCAGCCCCTGGGGGTAGTCACACCACAGTCTTTTCTCCCTTCTCTTCATGGGATTTCAGGCTCACACACACATGTGCCCTGTGTGATTTTTCAAGCTGCCATGTCCAGGATTCAGACCGTGGTTGACCTTGTGGGAATCCAACACCTTAGCCACCGCACCACCTGCTGGTCCTGTCACTGTGTTTTTAATATTTAAGTACTTACTTGGTACTTACCATGGCCTATAGATTTAAAAGGGAATTTAATTTATTTCTGTTGTCCTGCAGTATTTATTGAACACGCTGTTCTTGATTCCATTTTTAAAATGCTATGTTAAGTAATAGACAGTATTTTTAGCATATGTGGACTTCTAGACTTTTTCTATCGTTTTGTTTTTGTTTTTGTTTTGTTTTGTTTGTGTTCTGCCAGAGAGTACATGTACTTGCCACAGGCAGGCAGAGGGGGGGAGAGTGCCCGTCAGTGGGTGTGGCGGTGCTGCAGCGTCTTGTCCATTTCCTCTTGGGCAGAAGATGGGGCATGCTCAACATGCCGTCAGTGTATTCAGGCACCAGGAGCAGGACTCAGACTGCAGTTGGCTGTGTGGACCTAGCTCCCTTCACCACTAGCTTATGGCCCTTTGAACTTTTTATTTTGTTCTGTTTGTTTGTTTTAACTCTGCCTTTTCTCGGCTTAGGATCAGGACCATCTTTCCCCCATTTAGTCTTACTTTCTCTTGTCAGAGGGCATGTGCACTCACCAGAGAGAAAGCACCCTGCAGTGGGGTCTGGCCACTCTGCAGTCTCATCGCCTCCGTTCCTCCATCACATCAGGATTTTGGACATGGCACACACGTGTCCAGTTGCCAACCAAGGCCAGGATTTTCAACCACAGTTGTCCATTTGGGATCCAGTGCTTAATCATTGTACTGTTGGGCCAGACTGAACTGTTCTCTTAGGAAGTACTTTAGGCCCAGTCGCAGGTACAGCCAATAGCATTCTGGGCTGCATAGGTGGAAGCCACAGGTGGACCACAGTTTGCTTCTCCAGCCCGGTCTGCCTTGAGGCGTACTGGTCATGTGCATAGGCAGGGTCCTGGTGGGCCGGAAGACTGGAGGAGGGGCTGGCGGCATGACTGGGCTCTGTGGAAGGTGCTTCACTTCTCTCTCTCTCTCTCTCTCTCACATGTGCTCCGTCATATATTTTTAAAACTTTCAATATAGAATTGCAAGTCACCTATTTTTCTCCGACATTCTCTATTTCTAACCCAATTTTTAAATAATCATTTTTCTGGGTTTTTATTTTGTTTAGTCTTCCAGGTAAGACTTTAGACTGAGAACTCAGATTTTCTGAAAATTTTATTGGAATCACTCAAACTTCAGAGTTTACTTGGGGAAGAGGGGAAGACGTGACATAAAATGCTAAGTCATCTCATTCATCTGGGACATGGGTTATCTTTCCATTCATGTTTCTATGTATTTAAAAAATAGGACTGGCCTTATTTGTTTGATAGAAGTGGGAACTTAAAAATATTTCAGTGAATTCTTATTGGCAAAACTTTTTTTTAGGTTCTCTTTGGAAAAGTGAAGAAAATGCAGCCCTGTATGGATAAAAACAAAGTTTCTTTGGATCCCTCTCCTAACTTTGATTGCCATATGTCAAGGACCGCACCATCCCTGAAAGACTCCATTGAGCTCCAGGCCTGCAGTTCAGCAGTATGTTATGTTATGGCTCATCTGAGTACTTGGAAGGCACATGCTTCAGTTTCTGTGATACGAGACTTAAAGCAAGTTCCCAGAGTATTAGGTGGACATCACTTACTGCATTCAGTATATTACCTTAAATAAACTGTGTGGCCTGGAAATGTTAGTAAAGAAGTTTCCAGATTTGTCTGACTTTGTTCAACATAAAATGACTATTTTTTGTAGTTGTCCCATATGCTAATTTCTTACTTGTAAAATATACCAATTTCTCTTTTATTTTATTTTTTTTCCAAGCCGCCAGGTTTGGGACTTGAACCGTAGTTGGCCATGTGGGAGTCCAGTGCCTTAATAACCATGCCATCTGCTAGCCCCCCAACTTCTGTTTTTAAACAGGACCTCATAGTTAATAGTAATGTATTACATATTTCAAAATTATGTCAGAGTGGGACCAGCAGATGGCGTGATGATGGTTAGGGCACTGGATTCCCTCACGGCCATTCGCAGTTCAGGTCCCAGACCTGGTGGTGTGCTCTCGCTCTCTCTCACTTGCTTGCTCGCTCTCTCGCACAGGTGTGTGCACACACACGTGCCCTCTCTCTCTTGTGAATACACGCACATGCCCTATAGCAAAGTACATTTCAAATGTCTCACTACAAAAAATGATGGCTAAATGGAGTCATGGATATGTAAATTAGTTCAACTTATTCATTCTCTTGGGTCACTGGAAAAGTCATGACAGATTTTTCTGTACCAAAATGCGTCATGACTTTCCAGACATCCCAGTACATGTTATGCACGTATCACACCATCACATTGTGCCCCGTAAATACATACAATTGTGGTCCATGAGTTAAAAATACTAATCTAGGGCCAGCCAGTGGTGTGGTGGGTAAGTCCTCTGGATCTCACATGGCCAACTACACGATCTGAGTTCTAGACCTATTGCTTAAAAAACACCCAGGTGTGTGTGTGTATGGAGAAGAGAATGTAGAAGTTATTGTGGTGTGATTATTCCCCTTGAGGGTAGGGGGTGCTTTCTAACTTCCCTTCTCTCTGTCTCTGGTAAACACATGTACCCTATGGTAAAAATGTTTAAAACTTATTTTAAAAACAAGACTGTTTTGGAAACCAGCAGTGGGCGTAATGGCTGTGTCACTGGACTCCTATATAGTTGACCATGGTTCAAGTCCCAGACCCGGTGGCTTAAACTCATGCCAGGCACGTGTGCATGTGTGCCCAAGATCTCAAGAGGAGAATGGAGGAGAAGGGATTGCGGTGTGGCCATCCCCCTGGGGGGGGGGGTGATTTCTGGCTTTCTGTTTCTGTCTCTCTCTGGCGAGCGCACGCGTCCTATAGCAAAACCCCCTCAAAAAATTTTTGAAAAGACTATTTTGAAACAATATTATTGATTCTTGGTACTTTTTTAAAGGAGTAAAGAAAGCTTATTCATCATTAGGTGAAATTTATCATTTGGTTTACATAATTTTCTATAGATTAAATTAGATACATGTAATCATTTTTTATTAAATGAAGATAAATCATCTGTATTGAAATATGTACATGCTTCCACATATGAAATACGAACTTGTTATTTTGTAATTACATAAGTTAAAAATGTTTTAGAACATATAAAACATTTCTTAGAGGGCACATGCACCTGACAGAGAGACGTGGAGAGGGGAGCGCCTCGTGGGGAACGGTCACGCCCCGGCCACCTCTGCATCTCTCCCTCCTCACATTTCTGCCACACACGCCCAGTATGCTTCCCACACTTCTTGAGTTCTGGGACGCAAACCACACAGTCCGCCATGTGGACTCTGGCTGTCTTAACCACTATCCCATGGAATCCACCCCAGCACATTGAACTCTTAATGGAAAAGTACTTCTGCTTAAAAACAGATGTGTCTGCTTCTGTTTTGTTCTGCCTGTCAGAAAATACATGGTAGGAGAAAAGTGATTTTATACATCTTTAAAAAACTAGGACTAAAGAAGGCAGGGCGGGGAGGCGTGTGGAAGTTATAGACAGATAGCACGTAGTTACATGGCTTTCTTCTTAAATGGGAGTTGGATCCTGACTCTCAATATTAATCAGCATAAACTTGGTCATTTTCTCTCCTTTTCAGGTGTACTTCTATGAGTACAGTGTCTTTCTGAAGCCTATAGACAAACCAAGGCAGTGTCTTCCATACGCAATAGTGACAGTAAAATTTGTTGGTCAGAAAGTAGATAATGGACACCTGATGACATCTTTGAGATTCCTTTCAGCAGG